GGAGGCCACCTGGATGCCACCCTCACCTGGAGCTGTTCCATGGATCCACCAATGAGCCCTGACCCCCATCCAGACCTTTCATCCCTTTGGGATCAGGATGGAACAACACTTCTTGCCTAAGTGCTACAATCCTGGAAGTTCAGCTCTGTCCTGGAGCACCTGGACCTGCTGGTGGCTCACCTGGAGCCATTCCATGGATCCACCAGTGAGCCCTGACCTCCATCCAGACATTTGATCCCCTCTGGATCAGGATGGAATGACACTTTCTCTCCAAGTGCTAAATCCTGGAATTTCATCTCTATCCTGGAGCACCAGGACCTGCTGGAGGCCACCTGAATCCCACCCTCACCTGGAGCCATTCCATGGATCCACCAGTGAGACTTGACCCCCATCCAGACCCTTCATCCCCTTGGGATCAGGATGGAATGACACTTCCTGTCCATGAGCTGCAATCCTGGAAGTCCAGCTCTGTCGTGGAGCACCAGGACCTACTGGAGGCCACCTGGATTCCACCCTCACCTGGAGCTGTTCCATAGATCCACCTATGAGCACTGACCCCCATCCAGCCCTTTGATCTTGAGATATGCATGGAATGACACTTCCTGTCCATGTGGTACAATCCTGGAATTTCAGCTCTATCCTGAAACACCAGGACCTGCTGGAGGCCACCTGGATCCCACCCTCAGCTGTGCCAATGGGTCCACCAGTGAGCCCTGACCCCCATCCAGACCTTTCATTCTCTCAGGACCTTAATGGAATTACACCTTCTGTCCATGTGCTACAATCCTGGAATTTCAGCTCTGTCCTGGAGCTGCTGGTGGCTCACTTGGATGAGGTGTTCCATAGATCCACCAGTGAGCCCTGACCCTCATCCAGACCTTTGGGATGAGGATGGAATGGCACATCCTGTCCATGTCCTACAATCCTGGAAGTTCAAGTCTCTCCAGGTGTGGTGGAGCACCAGGACCTGATGGAGACAATCTGGATTCCACCCTCACCTGGAGCTGTTCCATGGATCCCACCTATGAGCGCTGACCCCCATCCAGCCCTTTGATCTCCTTGATATCTGCATGGAATGACACTTCCTGTCCATGTGTACAATCCTGGAATTTCAGCTCTATCCTGAAACACCAGGACCTGCTGGAGGCCACCTGGATCCCACCCTCACCTGGAGCTATTCCATGGATCCACCAGTGAGACCTGATCCCCATCCAGACCCTTCATCCCTTTGGGATCAGGATGGAACAACACTTCTTGCCTAAGTGCTACAATCCTGGAAGTTCAGTTCTGTCCTGGAGCACCAGGACCTGCTGGTGGCTCACCTGGAGTTGTTCCATGGATCCACCAGCAAGCCCTGACCCCCATCCAGACATTTGATCCCCTCTGGATCAGGATGGAATGACACTTTCTCTCCAAGTGCTAAATCCTGGAATTTCATCTCTGTCCTGGAGCACCAGAACCTGCTGGAGGCCACCTGAATTCCACCCTCACCTGGAGCTATTCCATGGATCCACCAGTGAGACCTGACCCCTCTCCAGACCCTTCATCCCCTTGGGATCAGGATGGAATGACACTTCCTGTCCATGAGCTTCAATCCTGGAAGTCCAGCTCTGTCTTGGAGCACCAAGACCTGCTGGAGGCCACGTGAATCCCACGCTCACCTGGAGCTGTTCCATGGATCCTCCAAGGGCCGGAGATGCCCTTTGGAGCAGCGCTGTGGTGACGCCGCCCTTTCCCAACAATCCAAGCCTTCCCAATCCCCCCACAATCCCACATCTGTGTCCTGTTACCTCCTGAAGCTCCTCTCCGTGGATTGCTGGTTGGATTTCCCGGGAGAGACGTCAGAGCCGTGCCGGTGGCTGGACAGGAGGCTGTCGGTCTCCAGGGAATACCTCCCGTCCCCCTCCGAGTGCACGCTGGGCGTCTCCAGGAATTCCTTGTCATTCCAGGTGCCCACCGTCCCTTCCAGAGCCTGGTAGCGGATCTCTATGGAGATGCTGGTCTGGAAGACAGGGAGACACCATCAGCACCCTGTGGAATATTCCAGGAAATCCAAAAAGCAGGAAGAACATTGGCTGTTGGGTGTTTTAACCTTGCTGATCCCGAAGTTTCATTGTTCCTGGATGAGGATTCTTTGCTTCTTTTCTTCTCCCAAGGTCGGGATTAAATTGTGAGATGGAATTTCTTGTTGGGACTCAGGTGTTTATCTTATCTATGTTCTTATCAGTTCTTATCTATCTTATCTCACAAACCATGAGTTCTGCAACACTTCACTCCAACAAACCAAAAATGGAGTCCCATCTCTCTCTCTCTGCAAGGTCCTGTAAGGATAAACTGTCCAATTAAGAAATTACACCTAAATTATTTTTACTTTTTACCCAATAACCACCCACCTGTGGCCTGCAATGTGAAGTTTTTTATCAAATTACACAAAACCACCCAAACCCTTGGAGGAGAAGGTGAAGAAGGTTATGAAAAAGGTGAAGAAGAAGGTGAAGAAGAAGGTGAAGTAAAAAGGTGAAGAAAAAGAGGAAGGTGAAGATGAAGGTGAAGAAGAAGAAGGTGAAGTAAAAAGGTGAAGAAGAAGAAGAAGGTGAAGACGTAGGTGAAGAAGAAGAAGGTGAAGAATGTGAAGAAGGTGATGAAGAAAAAGAAGAAGAAGGTGAGGAAGGTGAAGAAGAAGAAGAAGAAGAAGAAGAAGAAGAAGAAGAAGAAGAAGAAGAAAAAGAAAAAGAAAAAGAAAAAGAAAAAGAAAAAGAAAAAGAAAAAGAAAAAGAAAAAGAAAAAGAAAAAGAAAAAGAAAAAGAAAAAGAAANCCAATCCTAACACCTTCCACTATCCCAGGGTGCTCCAACCTGGCTTTGGACACTTCCAGGGATCCAGAGGCAGCCACAGCTTCTCTGGGAATTCCATCCCAGCCCCTTCCCACCCTCACAGCCAGGAATTCTTTCCCAATATCCCACCCCAAGCTTCCCTTTCCCAGTGGGAAGCCGTTCCCTGTGTCCTGGCACTGTAATTCCAGGTATCACCACGTGGGATACAGTGCAGAGGGAGCACAGGATGAGGCTGACCTGGATCCCAAATCCTGGGTTTATGCCAGGACCAGCACCTGTCTGTAGGATATGGGATGGGCTGGGATGGGCTGGAGTGGAAGCAATCTCCCAAAATCCCAGATCCCACCCCAAAATCTGGGATCCCTCCCACCAGGACATTTTGGTACCTTGCCACTGCCTTGTATCCATCGTTAAACTTAATCCTGGGTGAGGCACCGGAGAGAAAGAGAGGGAAAAAAATCCAATTAAATCCCAACGTCAGAATTCCTGAGGGAGCAGGGACAGCCCTTCCCAGGAGGGTGGGGCTGTGTCCAAGCTCTGGGTGCTCCAGGGAGGGAATTCCAGCTGTGCATCCAGCCCAGGGTGTTCCACTTCCCCTATTCCCAGAAAAAACCCGGCTGGAGGCTGGATCTGCACTTCCAGCATTGCTCCTGCTCCATCTGGCAATCTCCTCCACCAGAATAGGCTGGGGGCAATTTGTATTCCCAGAATCCAGGAAAAATCTCCAGGTTCTGAAAGCCCTGCCCTGGGACCCACAGCAGTACCTGCTCTGTTGGTTTGAACATTTTCCTGATTTTCAGGATCCTCAGAATGCAATATTTTCCCAAGGAATTTAATGGCACATTAAATGATTAACATAATTAAATTAAATTTAATGAAGGGGAAAAAATTGGAAAACCTCGGGGGAAAAAATGGAAAACCTTTTAGGGAAAAAAATTGGAAAAACCTTGACTGGGACTTTTTATTCCCAGGATGGAAAAGATCCCAAACTTCCTGTTCATCCTGGTGGTGGCACTGCGACATCCCAAAGATCCAAATTTCACATGGATTTGGGAATTTTGGACCCTTCTTACCTCTTTGGACACGGATGAATTCCCCACTATCCCAAATTCCAGCCATTCCCAGTCATCCCATGTCCCCAAGTGCCACATCCACATGGGAACGGGAATGGGGATTTTCATCCCAAGTTCTCCCAGGCCTGGCACAGATCCCAGCTTTGGAGCAGGTGCCAGAGGGATAATTAGCGACAGGCAGTCGGACAAGGCTCGGATCCGCCGGGGACACGGAAGAAAAGCTTCCATCAATAATTCACCGGGAGCAGATTCCTTTCGGCTCCCAGCCCTGTCCTGGCCATGAATATTTCAAGGACAGCCCCTATCGGGTGGTGCTTCCCGGGATCTCACTTTCCAGGGGGTTGGGAGCTGGGCTCAAACAGGTTTTGGCAATTCCTGAACTGCCTCTGGAAGTGTTCATGACTCTTGATTTTTCCTGGGAATCTAAGGGAGTCTATGTCGGTGAATAAATCATGGGATTGTAAAATTTCGGAATGGTTTGGGTAGGAAAGGGTTTTAAAACTTATCCCATTCCATGGGCAGGGACAATTCCCACTATCCCAGGCTGCTCCAATCTCTTGGACACTCCCAGGGATCCAGGGGCAGCCACAGCTTCTCTGGGAATTCCATCCCAGCCCCTCCCCACCCTCACAGGGAGGAATTCCTTCCCAATATCAAATTTTTTCCTGTTCTTTTCTGCTTTGGAACACAAGTCTAGTTTTTTGAAGGATTCTATCCTGGTTCCAACATCTTCTCATCTCCTGGGATTTTTTAAATCCAGGTTGGATTTTTTAAACTCTTTATTTTCCCATTCTGGATCCTTCCCTGTGATTTTTTTCATGGATTTTTTTGGTTAAACTTCCCAGTGGATCAAGGATCCAAAGCCATTCCAGGGATGTGGCACATGGGAAGGCTCCACCTCCCATTCCTGGCTCCTTCATCCCTGGATTCTGTGTGGGATGAGCAGATTCCAAACTTGGGATCCCCAGGGAAACACAAAAATGGAATTTAATACATCCAAGTCTCGATGTGGATCCTGGATTTAAGGAATTTTCTTTGGAAAGCTGAACTTTGGAGGTGGATCAGCCCTGGAAGGGGAGGGGGGGATCTGCTGTGGGAATTTACCTGGAATGCTGATCTTCTTCCGCTTCATCTCCAAGGCTTGGGAATTTACAGGGAGAGAGGAAAAATTCCTGCTGTGATGTGAGGACAAAGGGCTCTTCCTTTGTTTTCCAAACCAGGAAAAACTTGGGAACACTCCGGCACAACAAACCACTCCATGCATGGTTGGAATCCCGGGATCCTCCCCATTCCACTTCCCATTGTGTCCACAGGATCCAGGTTTGTCCCAGACTGGATTTTGGGGGATATTTGGCCAATATTCCACCTTTCTCAGATGGTTCCCTCCTGCCTGACCTCCTTTTCCCACTCCTTCCTTTTCTTTGGGATGGATTTGCTCAAATCCCAAAGGAAAAGTGGGAATGGGTGGGCGCTGTACCCTGTGCCAGGATTCCTGGAAGGTGGAAAAAGGAATTCCCAGCCCTTGGAAAACCTTGGGAAGCTCTGCCATCATCCCAGTGATGGAAAGCTCTTCCCATCCCTTGGAAAGCTGCAGGATTGCTTCATGGGGGGGTCCTGATTGCACAGAAATTCCCCAATTTTGGGAAATTCCCAAGCAGACAAGTCCACGTGGATCTACAGACATGGGAGGGTCACACGTTCCCTGGGAAAGAGGGAATAAAGATGGAAAATTCCCTGTGTTCCCAAGGGATCAGCCTGGATCCAGCAGCTGCCAAGGAAAAGCTGGATCTGCTTTCCCTGGAATCGGCAGCTCCACAGGAGAATTCCCAAAATCCTAGATGGGGATGCTGTGCTCCATGGGAAGGGGACAAGGCTGTCCTGGATCTGCCAGAGAGGGATTTTTGCTGCCAAAGTCCGGGATCTCCAGGATATCTGTGGGATATCCATGCCCAAATCCCAGGGGATTTTTCGGGTGGAAAAGGGGCTCCAAGCTGGGAGGGGGGAGGGAGAGAGGAAGAACAGGGAAGGGAATGCCTGGGATAATGGGATAGGTCATTGGAAAAGACGGAAGTTAAAGCAGGTCCCCGTGCCCTGGCATGGAGTTTGGATAAGGGATGGGATGCCAGGAAAAGGGGGAAAGGGTTGAAGCTGCAAAGGGATGGACTCAGATGGAATTTGGGGAAGGAATTCTTTCCTGGGAGGGTGGGGAGGGGGGGGATGGGATAGTGGGATAATAAGATAATGGGATGGGATAACAGGATGGGATGGGATGGGGATGGGATAATGGGACGGGATGGGATAGGATGGGATGGGACGGGAGGGGATTGATAGGATGGGATCCATGGGATGGGATCCATAGGATAGGATCCATGGGATGGGAAATTGGGATGGGGATGGAGATGGGATGGGATCCATGGGACAGGATGAGATCCATGGAACGAGATCCATGGGATGGGGGTGGAGATGGGATGGGATGAGATGGGATGGGATGGGATGGGATGGGATGGGATGGGATGGGATGGGATGGGATGGGGAGTGGATGGGATGGGGAGTGGATGGGATGGGATGGGATCCATTTGATGGGATGGGATAATGGGACAGGATGGGATTATGGAATAATAGGATAATGGGATGGGAAAATTGGATGGGATGGGGATGGGATGATGGGATGGGATCCATAGGATGGGATCCATGGGGTGGGAAATTGGGATGGGGAAGGGATTGGGATTGGGATGGGATGGGATAATGGAATGGGATAATGGAATGGGATGGGACAATAGGATAATGGGATGGGATAGAATGGGATGGAATCCATTGGATGGGATGGGATAATGGGATAATAGGATAATGGGATGGGCTGGAGATGGGATGGGATGTGTTAGGGTGGGATATTTTGCATTGGCAGGGACGCACAGGGATCACCTGGTCCAACTCTGCCCCATCCAAGGCAGATCCAGTGTTAAATCCTGTTATTACGAGACCCTCCACATCCTTCCAGCCATCCCTCATCCCAAAGGAATCTAGGAGATTTTCCCAAAATGCTCCTTTGTGTGGCTGAACTCCTCCTGGGACGATCCTTGGGATTTTACCTGAAATTCCCTTTCTTTGGCTCCTTCCCAAACTCTTTTGTCACGCTGAGAAAAGCCACAGCAAACAAACTTCCATGCACACTCAGGGAGCTCATTCCCATGGGAATGGCTGATCCCGGGATCTGGGGACAGGACATGGAGACAGAAAGGCACAGCAGTGTCCCAATATCCCAATCTCCATCCAGGATCCCATTCCAAGGCTGCTTTTCTGGCTGTTCCACCACTTCTCCTCCCCACCAGCAGCCCAGGAATGGGAATTCAGGGTCAATTCCCGTGGGAGATCCATCGGGAAAAGGCACGGAGCAGCCACAGCACTGCAGAGCCTCTCCCTACCTCGTGTCCAGGGACCCCTGGCTCAGGGAATCCCCCTCTCCCAGGAGCTCATCCTCGCTGTGGAAATACATCTCGTCCTCTTCCATCCTGGTGGGAACACTGCGAACATCAGCCCTGTCCTTCCCGGGATTCAGGATTCCCAAATCACGGAATCACTGAGCCCTTTGGGTTAGGAAAACTCTCCAAGTCCTACCATCCCCAGCACTGCCCAGGCCACCCCAATCCATGTCCCCAAGTGCCACATCCACAGGGATTTGAAATTCCACCAGGGATGGGGGCTCCAGCCCTTCCCTGTGCCAGGGGTGAGCAGCGTTTTCCAGGAAGGAATTGTTCCCAAAATCCAACTTGGAGACCCCACCCAGGACACATCTTTGCATATCCCAAGCTCAGCAAATGCCACAACTCTTCCTAAAATGGGGCAGCCACAGCTCCTCTGGGAATTCCTGCCCCTCCCCACCCTCCCAGCTGGGAATTCCTTCCCAGCATCCCACAATCCCAAGTTCCCCTTTCCCACTGGAAACCATTCCCTGGCTCCTGGCCCTCCATCCTTTTTCCCAAATTCCAGCTCTCCTGGAGCTCCTTGAGGCTTGGGAAGGGGCTCTGAGCTCTCCCTAGATCCCTAATTTTTTGCTTTAATCCCACAGAGCTGCATCCCACAGGATTCATCTGATGAGAACCTGGAAAACCCATCCTGGAGCCATCCCAGCAGCATCCTCCAATTCCCTGGAATCCTCCAATTCCCTGGAATCCTCCAATTCCCCGGAATCCTCAAATCCCTGGAATCCTCGAATCCCAGACTGGTTTGGGTGGGAAGCAACCTAAAATCCCACCCAGTCCCACCCATGCCAGGGGCAGGGACAACTTCCACTATGCCAGGGTGCTCCAAACCCCATCCAACCTTTCCTTGGACACTTCCATGAGGGATGGATCATCCATCTCTGCATCCCAAAATTCCAGTGGCACAGTCAGGACTTGGATATCCCATCCCAGCCAGCCTGACCCCCTGCCCTGGATTGTAAGATTTGTCTGTACTCAATTTCCATCTGTCAGGGGTGGGGCAGTTCTCTTCTGTTCATGGGGCAGTTTTCGTTATCTCTCCCACATCCAACCCTCCCTCCAGGAGATATCTGCTGTTAATGGGCCATTAATTACTAATTATTTTCTGTTCATGGGCCACTGCATAGCTGATAAAATTCCATCATCCCATTGGGAGATGCTCCGCCCAGGGGGAGGAGCCAAACATTCCTACCTGGATACAATCTGACACTGGGAACAACGCTGTTACAGACATATTTTATGAAAAATCCTTTTGCCAGGATTTTTTTCTCCTGAAAAGCTGAGAGGCCGAAATGTAAACAATGGTTATCTGCTGCTGTGGAGTGCAACAGGTGCATCTGTGATTGGTCTCATGTGGTTGTTTTTAATTAATGACCAATCACTGGTCCAGGTGTATTGGGACTCTGAGCAGTCACAAGATTTCATCATTCATTTTTTCCTTGCTAGGCTTCTGATGAAATCTTTTCTCTATTCTTTTAGTATGGTTTTAGCATATAATTTTCTTTTCATATAATATATAGGATAAAATAATAAATCAACCTTCTGAAACACGGAGTCAAGATTCTCATCTCTTCCCTCATCCTGGGGTGGGATATCACCACACACCAGAGCAGCCTCTGCCCACTGCATTCCCAGAGGAGCAGCTTCCTTCTCCACTACATTCCAGAGATGGGCCTGGAATTCCAGAGGAATTCCTTCCTGGAAATCCCATCTCCAACACCCCGGAACTTCAGAGGAAAACTCCCCCTGTTGTGCAGGATCCCTGCTCCAGCAGAACCACAGCTGGCCCTGCAGGAGGGCTGAGCCACCGTGGGATGGGGCTGGGACACCCCCTGACACACAGGGGGGCAGCTCCTGTCAACAACTCTGCCAATGTTTTTTTGTTTGTTTGTACTACTACATTTGTATTTTTAATTTTCCCTAATAAAGAACTGTCATTCCTATTCCCATATCTTTCCCTGAGAGCCCCTTAATTTCAAAATTATAATAATTCAGCGGGAGTGGTTTTACATTTTGCATTTCAGGGGAGGCTCCAGTGCCTTCCTTAACACTCTTTTCAAACCAAGACCCCTCCTCTTCCAGCTGTGCCATTCCCGGCT